GGTCGTCCCAAGAACCTTCATCCCCGCAACAGCCTGGCTCGCCCCTAGGGCCCGGCTCGCCGCAAGGGCCGTCTTCCCCGCAACAGCCTGGATTGCCCCTAGGGCCTGGGTCGTCCCAAGAACCTTCATCCCCGCAACAGCCTGGCTCGCCCCTAGGGCCCGGCTCACCGCAAGGGCCTTCTTCCCGCAACAGCCTGGATTGCCCCTAGGACCGGCTCGCCGCAAGGGCTGTCTTCCCCGCAACAGCCTGGATTGCCCTAGGGCCTGGGTCGTCCCAAGAACCTTCATCCCCGCAACAGCCTGGCTCGCCCTAGGGCCCGGCCTCACCGCAAGGGCCAGCTTCCCCGCAACAGCCTGGCTCGCCCCTAGGGCCCGGCTCACGCAAGGGCCAGCTTCCCCGCAACAGCTGGCTCGCCCCTAGGGCCGGCTCACCGCAAGGGCCAGCTTCCCCGCAACAGCCTGGCTCGCCCCAAGGGCCTTCATCCCACACAAGAACCTCTTTGCCCCTTGGACCTGGGTCGCCCCAACAGCCTGGCTCACCCGTAGGGCTGGGTCGTCCCAAGAACCTTCATCCCGCAACAGCCTGGCTCGCCCTAGGACCCGGCTCGCCGCAGGGCCGTCTTCCCGCAAACAGCCTGGATTGCCCCTAGGGCCTGGGTCGTCCAAGAAACTTCATCCCGCAACAGCCTGGCTCGCCCCTAGGGCCTGGGTCGCCCAAGAACCTTCATCCCGCAACAGCCTGGCTCGCCCCTAGGGCCGGGTCGCCAAGAACCTTCATCCCGCAACAGCCTGGCTCGCCCCTAGGGCCTGGCTCACCGCAAGGGCCGTCTTCCCCGCAACAGCCTGGCTCACCCCTAGGGCCTGGGCGTCCCAAGAACCTTCATCCCCGCAACAGCCTGGCTCGCCCCTAGGGCCCGGCTCACCGCAAGGGCCAGCTTCCCCGCAACAGCCTGGCTCGCCCCTAGGGCCCGGCTCACCGCAAGGGCCACCTTCCCCGCAACAGCCTGGCTCGCCCCTAGGGCCCGGCTCACCGCAAGGGCCAGCTTCCCCGCAACAGCCTGGCTCGCCCCTAGGGCCCGGCTCACCGCAAGGGCCAGCTTCCCCGCAACAGCCTGGCTCGCCCCAAGGGCCTTCATCCCCACAAGAACCTTCTTTGCCCCTTGGACCTGGGTCGCCCCAACAGCCTGGCTCGCCCCTAGGACCCGGCTCGCCGCAAGGGCCGTCTTCCCCGCAACAGCCTGGATTGCCCCTAGGGCCTGGGTCGTCCCAAGGACCTTCATCCCCGCAACAGCCTGGCTCGCCCCTAGGGCCCGGCTCACCGCAAGGGCCGTCTTCCCAGCAACAGCCCGGCTCACCACAAGAACCTTCATTGCCTCTAGGGCCTTCGTCGCCCCAAGGGCCGTCTTCCCCGCAACAGCCTGGCTCACCCGTAGGGCCTGGGTCGCCCCAAGGGCCTTCATCCCAGAAGAACCTTCATTGCCTCTAGGGCCTGGGTCGCCCCAAGGGCCTGGCTCACCGTAGGGCCTGGGTCGCCCCAAGGGCCTTCATCCCCAGAAGAACCTTCATTGCCTCTAGGGCCTGGGTCACCGCAAGGGCCTCTTACCCGCAACAGCCTGGCTCGCCCCTAGGGCCCAGCTTGCCGCAAGGGCCGTCTTCCCCGCAACAGCCTGGCTCACCCAAGAACCTTCATTGCCCCTAGGGCCCGGGTCACCCCAAGGGCCTTCTTACCGCAACAGCCTGGGTCACCGCAAGGGCCTTCATCTCCGCAACAGCCTGGGTCGTCGCAAGGGCCTGGCTCGCCCCAAGAACCTTCATTGCCATAGGGCCTGGGTCGCCGCAAGGGCCTTCATACCCGCAACAGCCTGGCTCGCCCCTAGGGCCCGGCTCACCGCAAGGGCCGTCTTCCCCGCAACAGCCTGGATTGCCCCTAGGGCCTGGGTCGTCCCAAGGGCCTTCATCCCCAGAAGAACCCTTTGCCCCTAGGGCCTGGGTCACCCCAAGGGCCTTCATCCCGCAACAGCCTGGCTCGCCCTAGGGCCTGGGTCACCCCAAGTGCTTCATCCCCGCAACAGCCTGGCTCGCCCCTAGGGCCCGGCTACCGCAAGGGCCGTCTTCCCCGCACAGCCTGGATTGCCCCTAGGGCCTGGGTCGTCCCAAGAACCCACCCGCAACAGCCTGGCTCGCCCCTAGGGCCCGGCTCACCGCAAGGGCCGTCTTCCCGCAACAGCCTGGATTGCCCCTAGGGCCTGGGTCGTCCCAAGAACCTTCATCCCCGCAACAGCCTGGCTCCCCTAGGGCCCGGCTCACCGCAAGGGCCATCTTCCCGCAACAGCCTGGCTTGCCCAAGGGCCCCAACAGCCTGGCTCACCCCAAGGGCCTTCATCCCCACAAGAACCTTCTTTGCCCTGGACCTGGGTCGCCCCAACAGCCTGGGTCGTCCCAAGAACCTTCATCCCCTCAACAGCCGGCTCACCCCTAGGGCCCGGCTCACCGCAAGGGCCGTCTTCCCCCAACAGCCTGGCTCGCCCCAAGGGCCCCAACAGCCTGGCTCACCCCAAGGGCCTTCATCCCCACAAGAACCTTCTTTGCCCCTTGGACCTGGGTCGCCCCAACAGCCTGGCTCACCGTAGGGCCTGGGTCGTCCCAAGAACCTTCATCCCCGCAACAGCCTGGCTCGCCCCTAGGACCCGGCTCGCCGCAAGGGCCGTCTTCCCCGCAACAGCCTGGATTGCCCCTAGGGCCTGGGTCGTCCCAAGAACCTTCATCCCCGCAACAGCCTGGCTCGCCCCTAGGGCCCGGCTCGCAGCAAGGCCATCTTCCCCGCAACAGCCTGGCTTGCCCCAAGGGCCCCAACAGCCTGCTCACCCCAAGGGCCTTCATCCCCACAAGAACCTTCTTTGCCCTAGGGCCCGGCTCGCCGCAAGGGCCGTCTTCCCCGCAACAGCCTGGCTCGCCCCTAGGGCCTGGGTCGTCCCAAGAACCTTCATCCCCGCAACAGCCTGGCTCGCCCCTAGGGCCCGGCTCGCCGCAAGGGCAGTCTTCCCGCAACAGCCTGGCTGCCCTAGGACCCGGCTCGCCGCAAGGGCCGTCTTCCCCGAACAGCCTGGATTGCCCCTAGGGCCTGGGTCGTCCCAAGAACCTTCATCCCCGCAACAGCCTGGCTCGCCCCTAGGGCCCGGCTCACCGCAAGGGCCGTCTTCCCCCCCAACAGCCTGGATTGCCTAGGGCCGGTCGTCCCAAGAACCTTCATCCCGCAACAGCCTGGCTCCCCTAGGGCCTGGGTCGTCCCAAGAACCTTCCCCGCAACAGCCTGGCTCGCCCCTAGGGCCGGTCGTCCCAAGAACCTTCATCCCGCAACAGCCTGGCTCGCCCCTAGGGCCCGGCTCGCCGCAAGGGCCGTCTTCCCGCAACAGCCTGGATTGCCCCTAGGGCCTGGGTCGTCCCAAGAACCTTCATCCCCGCAACAGCCTGGCTCGCCCCTAGGGCCGGCTCACCGCAAGGGGTCTTCCCCGCAACAGCCTGGATGCCCCTAGGGCCGGTCGCCGCAAGGGCCTTCATCCCCGCAACAGCCTGGATTGCCTAGGGCCTGGGGTCCCAAGAACCTTCATCCCCGCAACAGCCTGGCTCGCCCCTAGGGCCGGCTCGCCGCAAGGGCGTCTTCCCCGCAACAGCCTGGATTGCCCCTAGGGCCTGGGTCGTCCCAAGAACCTTCATCCCGCAACAGCCTGGCTCGCCCCTAGGGCCCGGCTCACCGCAAGGGCCAGCTTCCCCGCAACAGCCTGGCTCGCCCCTAGGGCCCGGCTCACCGCAAGGGCCAGCTTCCCCGCAACAGCCTGGCTCGCCCAAGGGCCTTCATCCCCACAAGAACCTTCTTTGCCCTTGGACCTGGGTCGCCCCAACAGCCTGGCTCACCGTAGGGCCTGGGTCGTCCCAAGAACCTTCATCCCCGCAACAGCCTGGCTCGCCCTAGGACCCGGCTCGCCGCAAGGGCCGTCTTCCCCGCAACAGCCTGGATTGCCCTAGGGCCTGGGTCGTCCCAAGAACCTTCATCCCCGCAAAGCCTGGCTCGCCCCTAGGGCCGGTCGCAAGGGCCGTCTTCCCCGCAACAGCCTGGATTGCCCCTAGGGCCTGGGTCGTCCCAACAGCCTGGCTCACCCGTAGGGCTGGGTCGTCCCAAGAACCTTCATCCCCGCAACAGCCTGGCTCCCCTAGGGCCTGGGTCGTCCCAAGAACCTTCATCCCCGCAACAGCCTGGCTCGCCCCTAGGGCCCGGCTCACCGCAAGGGCCGTCTTCCCCGCAACAGCCTGGATTGCCCTAGGGCCTGGGTCGTCCCAAGAACCTTCATCCCCGCAACAGCCTGGCTCACCCCTAGGGCCTGGGTCGCCGCAAGGGCCTTCATCCCCGCAACAGCCTGGCTCCCCTAGGGCCTGGGTCGCCGCAAGGGCCTTCATCCCGCAACAGCCTGGCTCACCCCTAGGGCCTGGGTCGCCGCAAGGGTCTTCATCCCCGCAACAGCTGGCTCACCCCTAGGGCCTGGGTCGCCGCAAGGGTCTTCATCCCCACAACTGCCTGGATTGCCCCAAGAACCTTCATCCCCGCAAATTCATCCAACCAGAGCGCGGCCGCAACGGCCTGCATGTCCGCAACGGCCTGGAGCGCTCCTAGGGCCCGGATCACCCCAAGGGCCCCCATCCCCACAACAGCCTTCATCCCCGCAAGGGCCGCAACTACCAACATTGCCAACGACACATGGTCAGTACAAAGTACGTTCAGCAAATGTGCTGAATAGAAATGTTGTACAGTAACACTTTACTGGATTTTGGTTTTTGATGTCAGAATTTATTTTTTTGGTCTTTGTCCTATTAGGTTGTGGCATCCCCACAGGAGAGCAGGTGACTTGTGGCCAGTCAGGAATATCGTCCTCAGACTGTGAGATGATGGGATGCTGTGTGGATTCTTCTACATCTACCTGCTACTACCCAATGGATGGTGAGGCTTCTGATTTTTAAAAAAATATTCAAATAGGAAATGTCTGTCTTTCAAGTGACTTTTGTCCCCCCCTCTTTAGAGTGCACTGTTGATCAACACTTTGTGTTCGCCATTCGTGCCAACTCTGCATCAATCCCTGTGGACCCCACCAAGCTTGTTGTTTCTGGGAGTACAAACTGTAAACCAGTCATTGTCAACGACAAAGTTGCCATCTTTAAGTTCAAAAATTCAGAATGTGGAGTTCATGCTTATGTAAGTCATGCCCTTTGTGTTTATATTTTTCCCAGTGCGCTTTCCACTTTGTTACTTTTTTAGCAAGTTGGAAGATGCTTCACAACTTGACCTCTGTAAAACTTAATTTAAAAGCCTAGTCCTAGTTAAGCTATATTCACACTGCAGGCCTTGAGGCTCAATTTCAATTGAGATTGACTGAACAATTAGCAAGATCCTTGAAGGGGAGATGATTTTATTTTCTGCAATGGGGTTACTACCTATACTGTGAACAGAAGGGATTACATTTAACTTTCAGTTAAGTTGCTAGAGACTTCATGTTCTCTGACAGGCAGGAAAAAGGCCTGTCCCTGAGACGCTTGTCCCAAATACAGGCAGCACGTTTAATGCTGCAGCCCTCTAAGTTTCCCTCGACTTCCTCGCCCTGACCTGCCATTGTAGCGCACGGTTATGTCACAGGTTGATAGTGTTGCATCTAGATTTCAGATTTTAACTGTGCTGTAAGGTGCACAGAATATTATGTGTTTCTCAATGTGGTGGTCATTAAAAGAGCAGATTGCTAAATCACAAGTAAAGGGATTTTATAAATGCACTCACTCTAAACATACTGGGAGTCTTGGAGGGTGTGCTTCAGGCATTACATTATGCATGCTGTGTAATCTGCTGGGAAACCTGAAGCAAACAGCTGACAAGTTGACTTTTCTTGACAGGAAGTTGGTGAGACGATGATCTACCTGGCTGAAGTGCAGACTGTCGTCCAATCTCTGACCCTCCAGTATGGCGTAATTGCAACACGTGATCCACTCAGGTTAGTGTTACACAATACACTTTGACTCTGTGGGCACAATTCTACCACTCTGTTGTGTTTGTGTAGTGCTAAGCTTAAATGTTAACCCACGTATCTGCATAGGTTCATGGTTGAGTGTCGCTATAGCAAAGCAGGCGTTGCTCCGCAGTCACTAACCAGCGTTGGCTACATGGTGAAGACCCGAGTTCCACCTTGCCGTCAGCGGTCCTCTCTAATGGCTTATATGCTGTTGACTTGAGAATTGCTAAAGGTTGGGTATTTATGCCTTATTTTCTATACCAATTGCAACAAGTACAATCTTGATTCTGCTGGAGTAGGATTGCATACGAGTAGCTCTGAAATATGGACTTGTCAAATTCATTGACTGTTTGCTCTTTGTCTGTCTAACCCCAACAGATCAGACGTATTCAAGCTACTTGCCCACAAATAATCAGCCCTTGCGACTGCTCCTTGGCAGTCCAGTCTATCTTGAACTGCGCTGATATCACCAAAACCAGATGCGGTAATCCTTGTCAACTACTGTGTAGCTTACCCTCGCTCTGCAAGGAATGCACTGGTGCTTATTTATGAAGGGTAAGCATGACCGAACTCCATGTGTACTAAAACACACCCTCCTCGCCCTCTTTCTGCCTAACCATGAGTCATATTTGTCTCCAGGTGTCCCAACCTTTATGCTCCAAATGTGTCCCTCCTTAAAATCATTGACTGCAAAAATCGTCATCAGAGGCGGTTTGTGGTTGAAGCCTTCCAGTTTATGGTTCAAAAGACAAACAAATACCTTGATGAAGAAGTGAGTAATCAGGAAGCCGTTATGGGTCTAAATGGTCAAAGCTATGCTGTGTACAACTGCCCTGACACAGTAATGTGGTGACTTATTCTATCCCGCTATTATGATTGCAAAGCGGAAATGAAATTTACCAAATATGTCAATGTAATATTTGTCTAGCTTTCAAGTGTCTGCTCCAAACTGAATTGCCTCCACTTGAGATTTTGTACTTTAGAGGCAACAGTGCTGTCATTCTGTGGAAAACGCATATGGGATGTATACACTTTTCTGCCATGGTGAATGGTGTGTTTTGTTTTTCCCCTGTAGATCTATTTCATGTGCTCTACAGAAGTGTGTTTACCAGCAGATAGGCCATGTGAACAACGGTGCTTTGATGGAAAGGTGAGTCTGTAAACTATGCCAATGTCCTATCAGCTCAGTGTATTTAAGTCTAATCAATTTCTTTTCTTCTAGGCACCATAAGGATGCTGCAGAAGACTTAAGGAGGGGGGGGGGGGAATAAATCGCATTTTATAACACGGTAAACCAGGTCTTGTGGTTTTTGTTAATGTGTAGACTTGTAAGTCTGTAAATGACTTGTGTGGGGTGAAACGGTGACACTGTTCTTACAAGGATACTGTTGGTGGTGATCTTCAGCCTTTTGAGCAGAGGAATCTATCCACTGTATATTGTAGATAAAGAGGGAAAATGAGAATGCAAATATCCCTAGAGGATCAACGGAAACGCCTCAGAATAATGCAGTACTTCAACACCAAAACTACATCCTCCCCAGTTGAAAAGTACTTGGATGATATTGGGTTGTGAATGGTGTGCTATATAAAGGTAACATGACAAGGGAAAATACGAGTACTGATCAAGTTTTATTAGTGGTTGGACTTTGTTGAAGAGACTGCACAAAATGACATTCTGAGAATTATGAAGAAACAGAGATACAGCTTAAAAATGAGGGCAGAAAGCTGGACAAAAGAAACCATTACTATGTTCATATCTAAATGTGTCTGTATTAAAACAACAAAGATGATGACATTTGTAAACCGTAAGACGGTGTCTTCAGTTCTGGCATGCATTTTTGACCCCTTAGTAGCTAATGGTCATAATTTTTTACATAGAGCAGAAATTTACTTTTCAGCTGTATCGCTGCCTCTTGAGCTTGCAGTGTAAATGTGTTTTAGTTTTTATGTAGATTGTCTGTGGTGCACAACCAGAGGAATTGGTTAAATAATGAGATGCCTTGCACTGGGCATGTAGGTGACATGGCAGGATCTGGTCCATCAATAACAAAAAATACCACTGCTTACTTCATAAAAGCACAACTTTATTCACTGATTTTGCTGAAACTGGATCATATTTGATGGAAAATATTTCCTGGTTTCAGGCCTGGCGCCAGGATGAAGTGACTGAGGGGGGGGGGGGGGGATCTCTGTGTGTCAGACATGCTCACAAGTCTTTGAGCTAGAGTCCAAGGCCCAAGCCCTGAACCCTCAGACTTTACTGACGTCACTGGCTCAAAATGCTGTGAACGGGACAGCACTTTATCACGTTACCTTGACGGCGCTGAAACACATTGCGCACCTTTTATGTTTTTGCCTTGTTTTTAAGTCCTGCAGGCGATTGCCCTACAGAGTGGAGGAGAGGTAGCCTAAATGTCAATATATATTTGTCAATAATCATTAATACACTATAGTTGGTCAAATGGCATCGTTATCATTTCCCATTCCCTTTTAAAGCCAGGTGCGCATGTACTTTGGCGCATTGCTATTATGGTGCTTTCAGACCAAAAGTGAAGCAATCGTTTGGGGCGGTGCGTTTACATACAAAGTCAAATATAAGGCCAACGCCTACAAGGGAATTTCTACTTCACTACTAAAAAAAACACCCAGGTTTTTCTTTTGGTTCTAGAGAATATGATTACAAGAAAGGACATTAATGTTTTAAATGATAAAGACTTTTGAATAGTCTGCTTATTTGACTTGTGGTGCAGTAGTAGACTATATGGGTGTTTGTGTTCTTGTACTGAAATATTTGCAATAAACTTTTGCCACCCCCGAGAAATTTCGGTGTCTATTTTATATTTTCTTCTAGTTAAAGACGCTGAAAGGTGTGATTTCTGATCCATCATCATGGAAGAACTTTAAAAGATAAAAGTCCGGCAATGCTCTGTGAAATACATTTGAACATAGCCGTTTACATGAAGCTTTTCTTTTGGAGACTGAAATGAAAGCCAGCTGAGTTTAATTATTTCAGTCAGTGAAATCCATCCATCCGTCAGTGAAATGAAGCATTTAAATGTTAATGACAACCTTTATTAGGTATAACTGTAAAGTGTAATCTATTCAACATCTTTGTGATAGAATGTATTTGTGTGATGCTTGTAAGATGGTTTTAGCTGTTGATTCTACTTTTGAGATGGAGAGTAGATGGTTTCATATAGTATTTAATCTATTTCAATTTTTTTAAACAATGACATGTACACACTGTACATGAGGAAGACAATGACAATATTAGAGACACCTCCAAATGTAATGCAGCACCCAAAGGAAAACCCTGTGTTGATTAAATGTGTAACAAGCAATATCCAAGGTGTTATTTAGAAAAATAAAATAACTGAACATGCTTGCAGTATTCAAAATGTTTGTCTGAAAGATAAATTCCAGTTATACTTAAGAAAAGATTTCAAAAGTATTTGCACAGACTGTGTGCCTGTAACTTGTAACATAATGTCATACATTTACATCATTAAATGTTGGTCAGTTGATTTATTTTAAAAGAACTGTAACATCTTAGAAACATGAAATAGGCATTTCCTTTAGTAAACAGGCAGTTTTCATTCCCAAACCTGTGACTTTAGTTGAGTAGCGAGTGCCAATCAGTAGTCACCAGGTGCACTCAATTGACTTCAAACCGCCACCCGCTCCGTTTCAAGAGGCTATATCTTTGTCTGGGTGCTCAGCAACTGCAGGAGGGCCTTCACATTGATTCATGGCTGGCGTCAGGGTAGAGCTGCTGCTGGTCCTGACTGCGACTCTGCTGGTTTCAGTAGAGGGATGGGCGCGGATCAAGAAAATTCAACGTCCCTCGCCAGGTAAACAACCACCAATGACACAGCACCGATAATAAGCGTGTGGTCACTGAAAGCAGGTTCTTGCAAATGTCGTCTTTTGCATACGTCTACAACTGGACCACTATGTCATTTATGAGGGATGGTAACATGCAGACATCGCTTTGTAGCTGTCATTTACAAAGTCATGGACTTTATGATTGTAGTAGGTATGTGAACAAAATTTGCAGCGTGGTCAAATGCTAAAACAAATTGTACAGCTGGAAAGGGCTTGAAATATACTTGAAAATGATAACAAGACCAGGTTTATTGCTTCAATAATTGCACAACACTGGTCATTTAAAAGCCAAAAGTAGTCCCTTACACTTGTCTTGTTTTCCCCTGAAGTTAAAGCAAAAGGTGTGACCCTACGGCATGGCTATAGCACACTCTGCTGGCTGTCTTATGTTCTTAGTCAATTGAAGCAGATTTTGCGGGCAATAAAACCCCAAGGTTGTTGTTCAAATTCATTGAAATTTTGTTCACTTGTAGTCTAGCAATTAAACTAAATATCTATTACAGTTGTTTACAAATGTTTATACTTCAGCAAAAAATGAGATTATTTTGTGACTGACAAACTTTGGCGCGCTCACAATGCCAGTATTTCAACGGGAAAGACGGAGTCTTGAAACGAGGAGGTATCTATGGTTCTTCTGGCGGTGTAATGAATCAGAACCTGGAAGTTCTGCAAAAAGAGTAATTTTCTCAACACTGCAAGACACCTGAGGGGAAAAACCAGAGTTAACGTCTATCGGAACAAAGATGGCAGCCGCGATAGTGGAGATTGCCGTGTACCTAGTTTTAGCCTATGTATTTCCATCATATCAAGCATGGATGACCTGAGATGTCTGTGTTTCTGTCCACTCTAGCAACTGCTTAGTCATAAAGACTGGAAGAAACTATTTGGCTGGGCTGTCTACATCGATTTGACAAGAAATGGCTGAATTCTTTTGACTGCAATCTGTGACATTGGTAACAATTGCCTCTCTCCACTCCAGATGACCGCAGGGAGGACGACAGCGGTGAAGATGCAGTTCTTGAGGATTCATTGCTTCAAGTTGAAGGCCCACCGCCAGTGGAAACTTCTACAATTTTGCTAACCATGGAGACCAGATTGACACAGTAGATTCTAGTCCAAGAACATGGCGCAGAGGTACTGATAGTAGTTTCCAGATGGAATTTGACAATATCCCTTCAAGGAGCCAGACCAGCGGTACCAGTCGGCGTCGGACTGGGCTAGATGTGGTTTGCAGTGACGCTGGCTTTCAAATTACTGTGCTGAAAGGTTCATTAAGTGAAGTTAAAGTTGTGGGTATGTACTTGACTTTGCTGCCTATTTAAATGTCTTTATTTTGCTGAATGCATGTTGTAAACTGACTAGGCTTTCACTTCGTTCATCAGGCTCAAAGGACCTGCTGTCTGTTATGGATGCTCCAGAGTCTTGTGGTTATGAAGTGAACCTTGACTAACACCTTGGCTGTACCCTTTACCGGGTGCCATGTGAAACGGGTAGGCTTCTTTAAATGTACTTTGAAGTAATTGCCTTGGCTCTGTAGTCTTAATGTGTAGTTTTGCATGTCTTGAATTGAGTTCTTTCTTCAAAAAGCTCTTTGTTACAGAGTGACCGCTACAGCCTGCAGTTGTTGTACGTCAACGCGTTTGATCAGACACAAGTTGCTACCGCATCTTGTGAGAGACGCCTGAAGGTTGACCCAGGCGTATTTCCTGGCTCCAGTGGCCAATCCTATCCACATTTAAGCGCATTGAGCCAATCCGAGCGCGGCCACAACGGCCTGCATGTCCGCAAAAGCCTGGCTCGCCCCAAGAACCTTCATTGCCCCTAGGGCCTGGATCACACCAAGGGCCTTCATCCCCGCAACTGCCTGGCTCACCCGTAGGGCCTGGGTCGCCCCAAGGGCCGTCTTCCCCGCAACAGCCTGGATTGCCCTAGGGCCTGGGTCGTCCCAAGGACCTTCATCCCCGCAACAGCCTGGCTCGCCCCTAGGGCCGGCTCACCGCAAGGGCCGTTCCCAGCAACAGCCCGGCTCACCACAAGAACCTCATGCCTCTAGGGCTTCGTCGCCCCAAGGGCCGTCTTCCCCGCAACACTGGCTCACCCGTAGCCTGGGTCCCAAGGGCCTTCATCCCCAGAAGAACCTTCATTGCCTAGGGCCTGGGTCGCCCAAGGGCCTGGCTCACCCGTAGGGCCTGGGTCGCCCCAAGGGCCTTCATCCCCAGAAGAACCTTCATTGCCTCTAGGGCCTGGGTCACCGCAAGGGCCTT